TAGGTGAAATTAATTCGTGGAATAATCTTAAATTTTGGTGTTTTGCACGCACCACTAACATTGCATAGGACTGGGTGGCCCAAGGCTCGGTGTTGTGTCCAACCACTTGGACAATAGGCAAATAAATACGTACGAGGATAGGACTCGATCATCGGGACATTTTGCAAGTTTTCCATAAGGGTAGCAAGCAAACTACCCATGTATAGACAAATTGGGATTTAGAGGGCAGATAAGCTATGGAAAAGATTATTATACGTATATACTAAAAGAAACTCTCTGTATAATTTAAATTTTATCCAATTATTTTACTGTAATGCTGACAAATTTGTAATTTTGTGTGGTTTTTTCTCCTTTGTATTTGGTATATTTTTGACATTACACTTCGCTTATTTATCATATTTTTTTTATCTTTATTTTTTTTGTTAGTTTTTTTTCTTTGCACTTTCTTAGAAAAAATATTATTTTTTACTTTTTACAGGAAATATTTATTTCCCATACTTATCTATTCATACTATTTTTTTTTCTTTTTTTTGTAATTTTTTCTTTACATGTTTTTTCTGAAAAATTATTATACAAAATAAAAGTAAATAGTGTTTTATTGTAACAATTGCATTATTGTTTTATTTTTCTACCATGTTAAAAATTAATTTTAGATGTTATATGTCTTTATGTAAACATTAGTTTTTTGATTCACAATATTTTTTTTACTTGATGTTAAAAAATATATTAATAACATTTACAAATGGTGTTAGAAAAAAAATTAATCAAACCACAATGAGATGAGTTGGAGAAAAGTGTTTTATTACTTTATTTATTTATTGTTGTTAATGATTATTAATTTATTTAATTAAATGCATGTATTTTTTTATTTATAATTATGAATATATTTTTTTTATAAAACAATAGGTTGAAAAAGTTTGTATATTTATTTTCTTGCCAAAAATAATATCCAACATCTGATGAAGTGCTTGTCAAATGAATGGCAATTGCTTTGATATTTTTTTTTAAATCTATTTTAAAGAAAAAATATTGAGTATTAGTTTTGCAATCTTAAATATTTTAAAAAGAATTTTCAACTGTTGTAAGCTTCACCTAATATTTTTTAGATTAAACTATTTTGTTGACTTTTTTAATACCTCACCAACCTAATATTAAAAGATAATTTTGAAAAAAAATCATATAACAAAAAGTATAAAAAAAATAACTTAAGTTAATTAGAACTAGTCAAACTTGGACTCAAGTCATGATAGTGAGATAACCCTATAAAAAATAAATAAAAAAAATCATAAAACTCAATTTTCAACTAACTTAATATTGAAGGATAAAATTGAAAAAAAATATTAAATTAAGAAAGAGGACAAAAAAACCTTGACTCCACCTAGGTTAGTACGCAAAATTTACGACCCGGATCACGATACCGAGATTACTATATATAAAGCAAAATAAGAAAATCATGAATCTCAATTCTCAAATAACCCAGCATTAAAAAATAACATAAAAAATAAAAAAACAGAGTTAATCCAAGTAACCTACCACATTCGTGATTTGGTTCATGATATCGAGATAAAGCAATGGAGAAAAAATCATAAAACTCAATTTCTAACCAACTTCATATTAAAGCATGAAATTGAAAAAAAAAAACTAAATTCAAAGATTGAGGACTGATGTTGACATAAAAAACAAATGATAAACTACTTTGTAATTTTGGAGAGGGTTAGGTGCGAGAATCAAGGGAGTGAGAGATAAAAGAAAAAGGAGAACAAAGAAAAAAAGATTGGGTTGCTTGAACCAAACTAGACCTATTTCACGTATATACGCCGTCTTGAAAAGAAAAGGACTCATAAATAAATCAAACAGTACCATAAAAGGTTGGGCAATAAATGTCGTAGGTTGCCGCACGCATCTCTCAAATACGGTAGTTCTTCTCATGCTAGTGCGTGTGGTACACGTGATAATCACTTCCCCCTTTTCATTCAATTCATTCCCGATACAATAACTTCAGTTTTAAATTAGATTGGTACTTAAATCTTCAATTGTTTAAAATAAATGAAATTGAATTGTTTTGTTTTCTAAATCAGGCATCAAAGAAACTCTAGAATTTACCTCTAACACCTTCATAATCTAACATGAATTCAATTGAAGTGAATTATGAATTTTAATTCTAAATCACTTCAATTTAAAAAGATAAAATTGAAGGGCAATAAACTTTAATGAAAAAAAAAATCATGACACTATTATAATCCAAAGTAATTATGGAAGCGCAGTTCAATGTTTTAGCTAAATGTTTTGGTTTGCAATGGTAAACTATATTTTAACCTTTGTATATTCACAAATATTCCACTATAACCCTTGCAGTTTAAAAGTTTACAATATTATCTTTATAATTCTCAAAAATTCTAACTTTATTGACCGATCGTTATTAAATAGGCAAGGGTAGCTACCTGAGTGCTCTATCTATCACTCGTTTTCTTCTTCTTCTTCTTTTTTAAAATTTCTATGTTATCCTTTTTTTTTCTTCCAAATTTCTACACCAACAATAATGTCTCATGCTAATTTTTAAAGGTCAACTGATTAAGAAGTGGGTTCGTTGGTACCTTTCATTTAGCAATTTAACAACCAGAGCCATTATTTTTTTTCAAAACTACAGAATTAAGATCAAGAAATTTTAAATTATAGCAATTGAATATTGCTGAATTTATAAGAACTTGAAATATATTTTACCAAAAAAAAAAAGTAAAAGGAAACTGACCTGTCAATTTACATCAAAAGGAGAAGCCAAGTCTTCGCTGCCTGTGTCAGAGTATCTTCGATTAAAGAGTTAAATAAAAAAATAAAAAAGGTGTACTTTTAATTTTCATTTTTGTATTTTTTCACTCCATCGCTTCAAGCAAACAGATAATTATTATATCTATTTATTTTTCAAAAAGCTATTTCTATATTTACCTATAAAACTAACAAAAAATAAATAATTTTTGACCAACGACTATATTTATAGTCATTGGCCAATAATTTATTTTTTTCTTCAATAACTTTTTTTTTTATAAAAGTAGAAGGAAATAACTTGTAAATTTTAAAATCTTGTAATGTGTTTTATCTTTTTTAAAACAAATTTTAAAAATAAGAATTAATTATTTTTCAGTTAATTAATAATATCAGTTGTGTTAATTAGCTGAAATTAAAAAATATATTTAAATAAAAATATTCATATAAATAAATTTTAAATTTAATTTTAAATTATATCTTTTAACTTTCATATTACTTCATTAATTTTATATTACTTTTCTAAATTACTCATATTAATTATATAATTAATAACATCATAATTATATTATATATAAAATATCTAAATTAGTTATATAACTATATTAAAATTAATTTAATATAAAATGTATTAAAATATAATATCTTTTCTAAATAACTTTTTATTATTGAAATGCATATTATTCAAAAATTATTTAATTTATTTAATTTTTTAATATAATATTTTTTATTAGAGACACTCTTATGAATAAGAGGTGAAAGAGAAAAGGCAAAGATTAAAAAAAAAAAAAACCCTATCACAAGGCCACCTTGTGTCCATTACTACTGTACTCTCCCTCTAACTCATCACTCATTAGAACCAAACCCAAGTTGTCAATTATTACAACAATGGAGAAAATAAAAGAATAGCGAACTCTTAGATATTATTTAGCAGTGTGTTTTAAAAGTATTTTTGAAAAAAATTGAATCTTATTTTTGCTTTGAATTAATATGTTTTTGATGTTTTCAAATTATTTTGATGTGTTGATTTTAAAAATAATTTTTAAAAAATAAAAAAATATTATTGTCATACTTTTCTAAATGAAAAGCACTTTGTAAAGCAACAACAATCACACTTCCAAACACGGTCTTAGGCATTCAACAACGGGGCGTTATATAACTAAGTGGTCAAGTGATAAGTTTATTTTATAGAGATAATTTATTCAAGTTTTATAAATTTTAAAATTAATAAAAATTAATATAGTTATTAATTTTAAAATTTATAAAATTAATTAAAATATACATAGACATTTATATTTTACAAAATTTTAAAAAATAAATAAATGGTATACATTATTATAAAAATCCTACCAAGATTTCGGATAGGCTGTTTCGGTTATATTACTATTTTATAAAATTTTTAATTTTTTTAATAATTTTTTAAAATTATTTTAAAATGTAAATATTAAAAATATTGTTTAAAAAAATTATTTTAATTTATTTTTAAACAAAAAATATTTTAAAAAATAATTTTTATAACCCTTTTAATTTTGAATTCCATTTAGTTCCTTGTTGAAGTGTTTTTTCAGTTATGACCAAATTTATTATTATTATTTCTAAGCGTGTTAGGTATTATGGTAATTTTTATGATTGTAATGTAAAAAAAATAAGTTTAGAAAAAATTATTTTTAGTTGTAATTATTTTGATTAAAATATGTATTTGGTTAAAATTATTATTAAAGTTATTGTTTAACAAAAAAAACATATCAAAATATTTATTGAAAATACTGTTTCAAATTGATGTTGATGATAAAATAATATAAAAAATCAGTGAGAATTAATATACACACACTTGGATTTTAACAAATTTTTAACTTATACAAAAACTACTCAGCATTAATTTTTTGTGATTTTAGTTTGAGCAGCAAATTTAAAAATAATAAAATACAACTTAATACAAAATAGAAGAAAAACATAACAAAAACATGTAGAAATAACTTCTCAGAGTTTTGAACTCATTTAATAATGGTCCGTACATAAAAATTATGTTTTGTTTTGTAATCAAATAAGATAAAATGATGGTTAAATAAAAAAGCTGCGGCAATTACATAGCCAAACTGGACTCTTTGTTTCGGCAAACATGCGGCTAAAAGGTCTCCCGCCTACATGCTTGTTCGACGCGGAGTTACAAGCTTCGTTCATTTTCCTTCTTGTGCACGATTTGCAGAACTATATCTATATATATATATCAGACGTTTCCACCTCTTTTAACATTTATCTTCTTCATTTCCTCTCTTTCTTGAATATTCAATTCCAGGTCTCAGCTTTGAATCTTAAGTGAAAATGAAGGTGAGTTTCCATCTGTCCTGTCTACATCTTGGCTAACCTTCCTAGCAAAACATGAATTTTGTTTTGGTTCAATTTTTGTTTCTCTCTAAAAGGTTTTAAGATTTTCGTGAATTCAACCCTTTTTTTTCTTGTTGACATATAAACATCGGTGTTCTTCTGTTTTTTCTTCTGCTCTCATCGCCTCTTTACTACATGTTGGATATCAGACATCTTGTTGAATTTTCTTGATGGCTCGGCTCTGTGTCACTTCCTAGTTATTTCTTTGAAAGACAAATAGTTTGGATTTTAATACATGGATTGTGTTCCCTTTCGGTCCTTTATAGGAAGATCTCCTTCTTTCAACGAGTCCTTGTCTGTAGTTGAAGTATGGGTTTTGTTAACTTTCTTGTTTGTAACCTTTTACTAATTTCTGTTTCTATTGCAGAAAGTGGTGTTGAAATTGGACCTCCATGACGACAAGGGGAAACAAAAGGCCATGAAAGCTGTTTCTGGCTTATCAGGTTTGTGACCTTTTTTTCAGTTACTGAGTTAATCCTGACAAGTTCCGCATTTTAAAATTGTAAATGTCTTTGTTTTCTGTTCGGACATAAAATGTGCTTCTGTTTAGGTTTCCTTCCACTCGGTCCCCAATGAAGTTACAGATGTTGTCCTGTTTTATTATGCAGGAATTGATTCCATTGCCATGGACATGAAGGAGAAGAAATTGACAGTAATTGGAGATATTGATCCTGTTGATGTGGTAAGCAAGTTAAGAAAGATTTGGCACACAGAGATTTTGGCTGTTGGACCAGCTAAAGAGGAAGGCAAAAAAGATGAAGGCAAGAAGGAAGGAGAGAAAGAGAACCCAAATGAACAACAGATGACTGAGCTTATGACACTTTACAAAGACTATTACAACAACAATCCCTACCCATCTCAGTATGGTTACCGTGTGGTATGTGTTGAGGAGAATCCAAATGCGTGAGAGTTTTGAGAGAGAGAGAGAGAATACAACTTGGAAGCACATCGAAGATGAACACAGAAAAAGAGCTGCTTGTTTTGTTTTGTATAGTTTATGATGATTGGTTTGATTGAATTGAAGTAAAAGGTTTAATATTCTACATATGTAATAATAATAATAATAATAATAATAATAAAATCCTCCAGCTCATGTCTCCTTTTATTCCCAAACCTATATCAATATCATATGAGCCTTTGTAAAGATTAAAAAAATACATGTAAAAACAAGCACCGGGCAAACTGTCCCTTTCGACTTGACCTTCTCTCCCAAATTTGTCAACAAAATGATCTCGTCATAAGTGACTTTTTTTTTTTTTTATTAAGGGGTGGTGTTTGTTAGACGCATGATAACTAATTTTTAAATTTATTACGCATGATAACTAATTCTTAGATTTATTAAACAGTAGGCAAGTAAAATATTATGAGAATAATAAATATACATATAAAAATTCAAATCTAAAATGAAAAAATAAAAAACTTTTTATCAAGATCTCTAGGCTACGAACATGCAATAAATGACTCTTTTTTTTTATGAAAGTTTCTGTTTTTTAAAATATTTTTTATTTAAAAAAATTAAAATTATTAAATTATTTTTTATTAAATATTTTTTGAAAAAATTTAATGTATTAATATTAAAAATAAAACAATGATAAATTTTTAATTTAAAAACAATTCTGAAAAAGTCAGGAATATAAAAGAAAATTTTGATCACAATGCCAAACCATGTATTTTTATTGATTATTTTTATGCACAAAATGCATATAAAAAAATTAATTTATCTACTAAGAAAATTTTTACTAGTAGAAATGTAATTTACCAAAAAAAAATTATTTTTCATATCATAATAAAAATATCATGCATGATTCTAATTCTACAATGATTCCTCGTTTAAAATATTATTTTTCATATCATAATAAAAATATTTACTTGTGAAACCTTTCCTGTTTGGTATTATAGTTAATAATATTTTAATAATATTATTAAAATATTTTTTTAGAATATTTTTTTATTTTTAAAAAATTATTTTTGATATTAGCACATCAAAATAATTTGAAAACACTAGAAATATATTAATTTAAAGTTAATAAAAAAATAAAAATAAATAAATTTTTTCAAAAACACTTTTAAAATACAGAAACAAATAAGACTGGATCAATCCATATTTTTCGAGTGATGTTTAAGAGTGTAGAGTATAGTTGTGGTTGATTCTTAAAATGTTTTTTATTTGAAATTATATTAAAAATTATATTTTTTAAATTATTTTTAATATTAACACATTAAAATAATATGAAAATACTAAAAAAATATTAATTTAAAGTTAAAAAATAAAAAAATATTTTTTTAAAAATATTTTTAAAATAAAAAATAAACAGAAAAAAAAGTAATCAACCTCAATGTTTAACTCGTCCTCCTAAACCACCCTGCACATTTAAAAGACAATCAATGCTCTCATGTCCAGTCCAAAATTTCACCATCAAGTGCATGTATCTCTTTTATAATAGAAAGTTATTTATCATATGATTGTTTTAATGCTTCTTTTCTCACATATTTATCTTCTCATGAAGAGTCTAAATCTCTTGCGAAAGTAATACAAATTTCAAAATAGAGGGAGGCATTGCATAATGAGATCAAAGTGTTAAACAAAATAACACTTAGTCACCTGTCCCTCTCCCATTGAATAAAGAACCATTGGTTAAAATCAACTATATAAGATTAAACAAAATATAATTAATGGTTACCTTACGAGTTGTTGTTACTTTACAAGTTCTTCTTGCATTAAATGGCTGACGTCTTCATCAATTAAATGTTAATAATGTCTTTTTGCAAGAAGATTTATAATTAAGAAGAAGTCTACATGAAAGTTCAACTTGGTTATAAGCATCATGAAAAACAATTAATTTGTCATTTTAGTAATTCTATTCATGGGCTTAAACAGGCCTTTAGAAATTAGATTTCTAAGTATTCTTAAATTCCTTTTAATTTTAGTTTTGATTAATTTAAAGATGATTATTCATTGTATTAGTACCACAAATTAACATGATTACTGATCACCTTTTGTTTCAGTTTATGTTGATCATACTGTCATTACATATAATGATGAATAATTAAGCTATATATTGACCCTTTGAAATCATTTTTTAGCCAATCCCAAGGATAATGGTAAGATGAAATATTTCCTTGGTATTAAAAGCTTCTAGGTCCAAGCAAGGCATTTATCTAAGTCTATGCAAGTATATTCTGGATATATATTCTAGGTTATTTTCTTGAACTATATTAGGAAATGAGGTAAGAATGGATTATTACAATAGTAATCCACTAGTTACCAGCTTGATTAGCACTGATGGTAAGATCGATGAACTAATAAGTTATACTCTTATTGGTATTTAAAGAATTTAGATGTTCTTGCATGACGATCAAATGAAATATAAGTAAACGATGAGATTTTTTTTTCTTTTTATAAATAAATACTCTGATTATTGGATGATTTTTATGTTAATTCCCAGTAATGGTTTTATATATCTTTCTTTGTCTATTTGTAATGTTAGTTTTATGTTCTGATTAAAGCACTTTCACATCTTTTCTTTTACAAGTGCACAAAAATGAGGAAATTTATTTGTTCAATAAATACAAAGTTTTGCTGAACTGTTAGTGATATGGGCTGGCTCATTCTCTAGCCCATAGAGAGTTCTGGAGCAAGCCCAAATATAATGAGATCAAAGTGTTAAACAAAATAGAGAGTTCTGGAGCAAGCCCAACTTCATCTCATGAGTCGAGCGGGCTGTAAAGTTTTGGTCCTACCAATTTATTTTTTAAGTTAAAGGTTTTTTTTTTTTTTAATCAACTCCCAGTCCAGAACAAGCCAGAAAACCAGTAACGTAGTAATTTCTTGGGTAGTAAAATAGGACAACAGATTCCAAAACCAGTAACGAGCGTCTGGCACTGGGTTTAGGCACGGACCCAGTGGTGCCAACCTGTACCCAGGCTTGTTTTTAAGCCCTCCCGTTCTGGCCGTTGTTAAAATGGGCTTGGGTCAACCAATATATTATTTAAAAAAAAAACCCCTATAAATCCCAGTCCATTAATTTTATATTACGGTTATAATTAACTTAACATGCTTGTGCTTCTGGGCTTAATTATTAAGAATCAAAATCATAGTATCAAATTAGATAGTTTAAGTTTTAGAGTTAAAACAGTAAAATTATTTGAATTCCTCAACATGAACCAGACACAATAAAAAATATATTAATGGGAATTTTTATTTTTAGTCCAACACAACAATTACAAAATTCACCTGCAAAATCTAAATTTTAACAAAAGATATTTTTGGTGGAGAATTTGCAGATTGCCCTTTACAGCAGTGGACACTTGATTAGGCGGATCAGGAATTGAGTTGACGTGGTTAGGCTAAAAAATAAAATCGGTTTAATCCCCCAAAAAATCCTATTTTATCTCTCTCTCTCTCTCTCTCTCTCTCTCTCTCTCTCTCTCTCTCTCTCTCTCTCTCTCTCTCTCTCTCTCTCTCTCTCTCTCTCTCTCTCTCTCTCTCTCTCTCTCTCTCTCTCTCTCTCTCTCTCTCTCTCTCTCTCTATATATATATATATATATATATATATGTTTCTTAACATATTTAAATTTTTTATTTCTGCTTTTCAAAAGAGAATGATTTTCATCATACTTTTGAGGACCAGTGTTCCACACGTAAATCGCTGAAGAGGAAGTGATCGAAGCTCGTGATTCGTTTGGTCAGCCTTTTCGACTTCGGCAGAGTTTGAAAAATAAGAAAAACCTTTATGCAGAGATTAAATGAATTTGGTCAGCTCCACAAACATATATTTCATGCTATAAATGTGCCATTTGCTTTTGGATGAAAGAAGGGAAATAGAAGGGATATCTATTACAACAACAAACCTTTATTTATTAATTAATTGAGATATTATCTAGGCTTTAAATTTGAGTTTAATAATTAAATATATTAATTTATCAATGTTATACTGTATAATGGATTGATTATATGTACTTTAATACTCTTTTCATTTCGCATACTGATTTTTTCTATTATATCAATCAAATATTTTCGTTAAGAATTCATAATTTCTTATTTTTTTATGAGTTAATTTTAAAACTTGTGAACTTATTAGAATCACAAATCGTTAAACAACGTGAAAGAAATGGTCGCAAATTAGGATTAGCTGTTCTAGTTAAATTAACTAAGTCTCCGCTTTTATTTCTGCTTTTTGGATTGAAAAGCATGCAAAATAATGCTTTTCAACACGCTTTTTAACCCAAGAAAGAAATAAAAACAACAGCTTAGACAAACAGGATCTAAAGAAGGGAAGCATCAGCCAAGCTTTTGTCCAATCAAAAGCGTGTAACAGAACAAGGTAAGCTCAAATTGTATTTTATAAATGAAAAATAAAATAAAATAAATCTTAAATATTCTTTTAAAGTAAAAAAGAAAACCCATTTAAATTTATTTTTTTAATTAAATGCTCATGCAGCAGATATCTGTTTAGGTTAGAGGTTGGTTGGGGTTATAAATATGAATATTTGTTTGATTATAATTATGGTTGTGGCAAGGAAAAAATTATTTTTTAAATTTTTTTATTATTTTATATTTAATTAATTTAAAATTAAACTTCATAATACGACATAATGTTACCGGTTGTGGTATTGTAGTGTGGTGGTTTATAACCCTGAGGTGGTCTATGAGCATTAGATTGTAACTGACTACCAGGCTTTTAAGCTTGATTTTGCTATCTCAACTTAGGATATTGAACCTTTCAATGATCTTTCTACTTATAAAAACTACACTCATCGAAATCAATCCTTGTATAAGGCTTGTTTTGATGATTAGAGAATGGCTTAGAAGGTACTGCTAGTATAAAAGGATTTGAAACAAAAGGAATTCTCTTTTTAGAATAAGACTGAAGACTTATTTCTTACAAAAGGAATTCTCTTTTTAGAATAAGATTGAAGACTTATTTCTTTAACTAATAACTTACTGACAACAGAGTC